GCCCAACCCAAATCAGCACAGAGAAGATGGACTTTGCTATAGCACTTCGTATTTCTAGACAATGTTACTGCGTGATTCACTGCAAAAATTGTGTCTGCCTGTGGTGTTTGCAGAATGAGTCAAATACAAATACTTTTCTTGTGAGGAGTACGTTAATCTCAAACCGTGCCACTAGCTGTAATCTAGATCTACTCGATATCTGCCCATTTCCCTTCTTCATGCCTCCAGTGAGAATCCATGATATATTTCTTCTGTTGCAAGGATTAACAGCTGCCATTTCATAGAATCATAGAATACCCTCCGCTGGATGGGACCCATAAGGACCATCGAGTCCAGCTCTTGGCCCCACACAGCATCAACCACGCCATATGTCTGAGGGCACTGTTCAGACACCTCTTGAACTCCAGCAGCTCCATGCCATGGCCACTGACCTGAGGAGCCTGCTCCAGAGCCTGACGCCCTAGGAACATTCACCCAGGAACTGGTTCCTCATTGGAAAAAGGAGTTCTGTGGTCACAGGGAGCCAATTCTGTCTCTGAAGTACTGAGGGGAGCACTTTTTATTTCATGTGCCTGTGAGGTTCTATGAACCTGGTGATCAGTGCATCCCAATTCCTCGCAGCCTTTCCCACATTGCTGTGAGCCTCCTGGCACATTGCTCTGGGTCTATGTAGAGAACATGGACAAGTGTGACTGGGACCAGACAGAATGATGAGATTGTGAGAGAATACAGACCCTGCTTAGGGCTCAGGTGGGAAAGACCCAGCGTGTTGCACAGTGATCTGACATCGCAGATCTCTGAGCCCACTCCTTTGCTCTATTTGCTACCACTTCAAGGGACAAAACTGCCAAAAAGGACCTGAATACTACTGTAAGTAACGAGAAACATAAAATAGTCAGAGCCAGTTCTAACTGGCATCAGTCTTTAGGAGAGACGCAGCTCTCTATCTTATTCAGATCGTACCCACAGAACTAGGAAGTATGTATTTGGATCAGAATTTTTCTTTCTCTGTGTTTACGGCCTCAGTATTTGAAGAGGTTTTGTGTTCTTTAAGGGCATATTAAACTTAAAAATTGAGACACTGTGATAACATCCAGAGGGCTCTGTTTTAATGAGTGCCTCTTACATTTTCCATCACCTGACTGAACGCAGCTCCTGCTTCTTTGAACCTCTTGTTGTTCTCGCAGGAAGCGGCACTAACATGCTTTAAAAGCATACAAATAGCTTCTGCTGTGACGAGCTCTTCGACATATCCTGCTCTGTTTTGTTGTAATATGCATTTTGGTTCACAAATGCCTGAGCTAACGGAGGTAATGCCGAGACAAATCCCCAGCATTACAACCTGTTTTTCCATTTGTTTGCTTATGATGCATAAGATCTGATTCTTTGGCACTTCAGCAACATCTGAGGCCGGAGGTAGGTGTGACAGCATCCCGAGTGTGCGGCGTCCCTCAGGGGATGCTCAGAGCTGGGCTGCAGCCAACCTCATACACTCAGTGCTTTGAACTTTGTTATTTCATTAAGAAAATGGATTTTAGGTTTGTCATCGATTCAGCATCCATAATGTGCAGCCACCTTCCATGCTGTGTTCATCTCCTGGCTGCCTTGGGACGCACACAGGTGTGTGACCCCAAGCACCCGCGTTTGGGGCAGTACAAAGCCGGGAGGATTTCAGTGCAATTTCTCAGCTTAAAGGGAGGGATATGATGAACGTCGCAAGTAAGGCGGTGGGGAAGCAGGACTGAGACGCAAAGCTGTCGGAATGTGCAACCTGAAGGAGGCAGATTGCATGCAGGATGGGAGTTGGGCAGAAGTCACTGAGCTGAACGGTGCACCCTCCTGGGGAGATGCCGAGCAGCCCGGCTGGAGGCGGGGGGTGGAATGTGTGGGCACCGTGCTGGTGGGAGAGCACCCCAAACGGACCTCAGAGGGACCCCCTGACGGGAGACGCCCCCCGGAGGTAGGGAGTTCTGTGAGGGGGGCAGGCGGGGAAGCGCATCGCCTCGAGGGTGAGGAGTAGGGGAAGATTGCGGGCAGTGGCGGCCGGGGACAGCCGAGGGAGAGGAGCAACGCCCGGAGCTGGGAGTGGGGAGCCGTCCAGGAAACGGCGGGGGTTGTCCGCGCCTATCGGCCCCCCATCGCCCTGCGGAGCCTCCCAAGCCCCGTGCCATTGCGCCCCGTCGGTGGGGCCCGGAGAAGGCGGAGGAGGGAGTGGAGGGTCGGGCGGAGGGAGCCTTCCCGAGAGCGGAAAGTTTCCCGGAGTGACCTCTCCGCGTACGCGCCCGCTAGGAGATCTCATTCAAGTGTTTTTGTCAATGGGAAGGGGGGGGGGGGGGGGGGGGGGCCGCGGCTCCCCGGCCCCCGGCCCCGCTGACGTCACCGCAGAGGCGATAAATATCTGTTGATATAATTGGACGTGAGATTTGGGGTTGCGATAGCGAAACTCGGCCCATCGCCGCTCCGACGGGCCCCCATGATTTATTCAGCAGTGGATCGGGGCACGCAATCGGGCTGTCAGGAGAGCGTCAGCTTATTAGGCAAGTTCTGCGTGATTCCAGGAGAGGGTCTAAGCTATAAAAATCCCGCGCCCCGGCTCTGATTAGGACCAAATCTGATCACAAGTTCTCCGGGAGGAGGCTCCGAGGCAGAGCCAGAGGAAGGACGCCGGGCACCGCCGGGCACCGCCGGGCACCGCCGGGCACCCGCCGAGCCCCGCCGCCTGCCGCCGCCGCCGCCCCAGGT